AGAATTGATGAGATAGCATCTTGATAAATTAACACTTAGTAAATGGGGGTGAGGGTATGATGTATACAAAATTCAGAAAGTGTAATATGTATATTCAAGTGTATGCTGTCTCGGGGGCCATCTAATAATTAATTGAAATATCCTGGATCATCATAATCATGGGACATTCAGGAAAAAAGCAAAAAAAAAATGGTATTTTAATTTAGCAACAATTTATTTTTAAAAATATTTTATTTATTTATTTTTAGAGAGAGGGGAAGGGAGGGGGAAAGAGAGGAAGAGAAACACCAATGTGTGGTTGCCTCGCACATGCTCCCCACTGGGGACCCAGCCCACAACCCAGGCATGTGCCCTGACTGGGAATCGAACCAGCGATCCTTTGGATAGCAGGCCAGCACTCAATCCACTGAGCCACACCAGCCAGGATAGCATCAATTCACTATGTCATTGTGTCACCAAATACTAAAGGTAAAAGATTTGCTTTTGCTTATCAAATAAGGTGCAATAGAAAACATCCTCAGACAAAGCTGAGGTTTGCCATTAACAGACCTCCACTAAAGAAAACTCTTAATGGTTATTTTTCAGGCAAAGAAGAAAATGATCCTGTAAGGAATTCAGAAAGGAATAAAGAGAAATCAAGGTGGTGAATATGGGGGTAAAACAAAGTGAATGTATAAAGCAAAAATGTTTTCTGGGGAGAATTGTATGTGTGTGTTTATACACACACATATATTACATATAAATCCCAAAATACATCATTATATTTTGAAGTATACATGTATATGCATGTATGTGAGAAAAATTTCTATTAAAAGATTGGCTTTCAAAGACAATTTCTTAGAGAAAACCAAAAAATATTGTTGAAGGTCAAAAAAGATGCATTGAAATATAAAAAGAAAACCAGCATTCCTGGATGGAAAGGCTTAAAGCCATTTTACACTTTTCAGATTGGCAACAATTTGAAAGACTGATAAGTCTTGGTGAATATGTGGGAAAATGTAAACTTTTTCTCCAACTGCTCATGAGATTGTAAATTAGTACAATTTTGAGGGAAATTCAATTACTATTTTTTATTTATTAATTTGAGAGAGAGAGGAAGAAAACATTGACTTGTTATTACACTTGTTTATACATTCATTGGTTGATTCTTGTACATGCCGTGACCAGGGACTAAGCCTGCAATTTTGGCATATTCAGATGATGCTCTAACCAACTAAGCTACCCAGCCAGGGCTCAATTATTTAATAAAGTTGAAAAACGTCCATGTTAACCAGAACCCAGCTAGAAGAAAGAAGCTTTATCAGTTATTTTCATAGAAAGCACTTACTATGAAGAATTCATAACTGGTTATGAAGTTATTAACCACATAAATGAAAAGACAAAAGGAGAGACTTTCAGCCAAGATGGAGGCATAGGTAGATACACTTTGCCTCCTCGCACAACCAAAAGAAGGACAAGTTAAAAAAAAAACAGAACTGCCAGAAAATTGAACTGTATGGAACAACCAAGGAGTTAAAGAAGAAACATTCATCCAAACTGGTAGGAGGGGCGTAAACAGGCTGCTGGGGTGAGAAGGCATATGGCAAGGCAGTGGCTGGAGGACCAGGCGGGTAAGGCAGCGGCTGGCGGTCCAGGCAGTCCCACATTTGTGTGCAGATAAACCAGGAGGAACAACTGGGGAGCGAGACAGACTGTGCAGCCCAGAGTTCCAGGGCAGGAAAGGAAAGCCTCAAAACCTCTGACTATAAAAATCTGTGGGGGATGCGGCAGTGGAAAACCTCCCAGCCTCACAGGAGAGTTCTTGGAGAAACCCATGGGGTCCTAGAACATACACAAACCCACCCACCTGGGAATCAGCACCAGAATGGCCAAATTTGCTTGTGGGTAGCAGGGTAAATGACTGAACGCCAGCCAAGAGCTGAGCAAGTGGCATTGTTCCCTCTCTGACCTCTCCCCACATACAGCATCACAATAGCAGTGACCTGGGTAGCCCTACCCTGGCAAATACCTAAGGCTCCATCCCTTCCAATATAACAGGTGTGCTGAGACAAAAAAAAAAAAAAAATATGGCCCAAAGGAAAGAACAAATCAAAGCTCCAAAAGTAGAACTAAGTGATGAACGGATAAACAACATATAAGATGCACAGTTCAAAACATTGGTAATCAGGATGCTCACAGAAATGGTTGAGTAAGGTCGCAAAATGGAGGAAAAAGTGAAGGCTATGCAAAATGAAATAAAGAAAAATACACAGGGAACCAACAGTAAAGGGAAGGAAACCAAGACTCAAAACAACAATTTGGAGTGGATGGAAGAGATAAACATTCAACCAAAACAGAATGAAGAAACAAGAATTCAAAAAAACAAGGAGAGGCTTAGGAACCTCTGGGACAACTTTTAAACATTCCAACATCCAAATCAGAGGGGTGCCAGAAGAGGAAGAAGAGCAAGGAATTGAAAGCTTATTTGAAAAAATAATGAAGCAGAACTTCCCCAATCTGGTGAAGGAAATAGACTTCCAAGAAGTCCAGGAAGCTCAGAAAGTCCCAAAGAAGTTGGACCCAAGGAAGCACACACCAAGGCACATCATAATTAAGTTACCCAAGATAAAAGATAAGGAGAGAACCTTAAAAGCAGTAAGAGAAAAGGAGGCAGTTACCCCCAAAGCAGCTCCCATAAGACTATCAGCTGATTTCTCAGTAGAAACCTTGCAGGCAAGAAGGGGCTGGAAAGAAGTATTCAAAGTCATGAAAAGCAAGGACCTACATCCAAGATTACTCTAGTCAGCAAAGCTATCATTTAGAATGGAAGGGCAGATAAGAGTGCTTCCCAGATAAGGTCAAGTTAAAGGAGTTCATCATCACCAAGCCCATATTATATAAAATGTTAAAGGAACTTATCTAAGAAAAAGAAGATCAAAACTATGAACAGTAAAATGACAACGAACCCACAACTATCAACAACTGAACCTAAAACAAAAACAAACTAAGCAAACAACGAGAACAGGAACAGAATCACAGAAATGGAGATCAGAGGGGAGGGGAAGGGGGAAGAATGGGGGAAAAGGTACAAGGAATAAGCAGCATAAATAGTAGGTACAAAATAGACAGGGGGAGGTTAAGAATAGTACAGGAAATGGAGAAGCCAAAAAACTTATATGTACAACCCATGGACATGAACTAGGTTGGGGGCATGCTGGTGGGACGAGGGGGTGCAGGGTGGAAGGGACAAAGTGGAGAAAAAATGGGATAACTGTAATAGCATAATCAATAATATATTTTTTTCAAAAAAAGACAAAAATAGAACATTAAACTTATCATGGAGGTAACAACTTCAGAAAGTAGCCAGATTAGGGTAACAAGGGAAAAAATGAAACTATTAAAAATTAGAAGGTTGGAGGATGGGGTCTCATTTGGCTGTGACTCATACCTCTAGTGTCACCAGCCAGCTGCTGCTAATGGCTCCCATAAGGCTGTTGTGTGAATGGTGGAAAACTGCAAACTGGATTAAACTGCTGGTACTCTGAGGGACTGCTTACTGACTCAGTGGAGAAGTAATGCCAGCCTGACAGATAAACAGGGAGGTCCAACAGGGAGCAGCTGGCAGGACAGGAATGTGTTTTATAGAGTCATGGTCCCAGCATCACAAAGTACAGTATAGAAGGATAGGTTTGGAGCTGGTACACAATAGCTTAATAACTGGCACACTGCCTATACACTATGAGCCATCAGTTCCACTTCTAGACTTAGACACTAAACACAGAAACAATACAAATGCCTTTCACTAGGGGAATGAAGACAAATGAATAAACTGGACCTATATTTATCAACATGGATATCTAGATCTTAAAAAGGAAATGTTTCATGAAAAAAAGCAATCTGTGGAAATTTAAACATAGTGTGATATCATATATTAAAGTTTTTTCTCATAGACACAGACAGACATCAGCATGATGGTTACCAGAGGGAAGGGGGATGGTGTAGTGAAGGGTAGAAGGGGTCAAATATATGGTGATGGAAGATGATTTGACTTTGGATAGTAGTGACACAATACAATATGCAGATCACGTGTCATAGAAATGTACACCTAAAACCCATATGATCTTATTAACCAATGTCACCCCAATAAATTTAATAAAATTAAAAAACCAATAGATCTATAAATAAATAAATAAATAAACTTTAAAAAAGAAATATATCTTTATACATTGCAGAATTCATACTATATTTTAAAACCTCAGGGTAGATTAAATTCTAAACATTGAAAGAAAAATTTTAACTTTGGAGGAAAGTATAACAGAATACTATCACCTTGAAATTGACAATAGTAAAACAAAACTTGAGCAGAAGAAGAAAGTTAACAAATTAAAGAGCCAGCCACAGTCTGGGAGATCTTTGCAACACACATGACTGAAAAAGAATTTTTATAGTTTCATATATTTTTTAAAAAACAACAAAAATAACATTTAAACCAATAAGTAACAAGAGGTACACCTTGACTAGCATGGCACAGTTGGTTGGGCATCATCCCGCAAGGAAAAGGTCACTGGTTTACTTCCCCATCAGGGCACATGCCTGGGTTGCAGGCCAGGTTCCTGGCTGGGGTGTGTATGAGAGGAAACCAATCCATGTTTCTCTTTCACATCAATGTTTCTTGCCCTCTCTTTCTCCCTCCCTTCCCTTCTCTCAAAAAAATAAATAAATAAAATCTTTAAAGAAAAAACAACACCAAGAGGTAAAAGATAAGCTGCCCATTAGAAAACAATGAACAAAAGGTTATGAACAGTCAATGCACAGAAGAAAAACCCAAATAGCCAATCAACAGAGGAAGATGTTCAACCTCACCACTAATTAGGAAAATCCAAATGAAATACAAACAACAATGAGCCATCCCCTAAGGGGATCATGGCATATTTCCACACCAATGTAGGAGCCAAACTCTTACAGGTGTGCCCTGGTGATCAGATGGTCCAAAGGGCTTGATCAAATGGTGCGGGGATTCTTCACAGAGAAACTTTCTCCACAGCATAAGGCAAGTGCCGACCTATGTGAGTTCTCCTATGTTCTGTGAGGTGAGCTTTGCGGCAAAAGGCTTTCCCACATACTTGACATTCAAAGGGTCTCTCTCCTGTGTGAATTCGCTGATGTTCAATGAGACGTACTTTCAAATAAAAGGCATTTCCACATTCACTGCATTCATAAGGCTTCTCTCCTGTGTGAGTTTTCTGATGCTGACAAAGGGATTTCTTCATACTGAAGATTTTTCCACATTCAGTACATTCATAAGGTTTCTCTCCTGAATGCATTCTCTGATGTTCAATGAGGCGTGCTTTAACATAGAAGGCATTACCACATTTATTACATTCATAAGGTTTCTCTCCTGTGTGAATTCGCTGATGTATTCCAAGAGATGAGTGCACCCTGAATGATTTTCCACATTCATTACACTGATAGGGTTTTTCGCCTGTGTGAGTTCTCTGATGATTATTGAGAGTTGTCTTCATTCTAAAGAATTTCCCACATTCCTCACATTTATAAGGTTTCTCGCCTGTGTGAGTTCTCTGGTGTTGATTTAGGGATTTCTTTGCACGGAAGTTTTTCCCACAGTCACCACATTCATAGGGTTTCTCGCCAGTGTGAGTTCTCTGGTGTTGGGTAAGGGATATTTTAACACGAAATTTTCTCCCACATTCACTACATTCATAGGGCTTCTCCCCTGTGTGAGTCCTCTGATGAATCGTGAGGGTTGCCTTCTCAGAAAAGGTTTTCCGACATTCAGTACATTCATATGGTCTCTCTCCTGTGTGTGTTCTCTGATGTAGAATGAGTTGCGACTTCCTACCAAAAGATTTCCCACATTGACTACACTCAAAGGGCTTCTCCCCTGTGTGAGTTTTATGATGAGCAATGAGATATGATCTTGCACTAAAGGTTTTTTCACAGTCTTTACATTTATAGGGTCTCTCTCCTGTGTGTATTCTCAGATGTTCAATAAGGTTTGATTTCCTACAGTAAGTTTTCCCACATTCATGACACTCAAAGGTTTTATCTCCTGTATGTGTTCTTTTATGTCCATCAAAGCCCGTCTTCTTGTAGAAAACTTTCCCATATACATTATATTCAAGAGTTTGATCTGAAGTTTGAACCTTCTGATGCTGAAGAAGGTCATTATCATGCCTGAGGGCATTACCCCCAACAGAATTGTTGCCACACAGCAGTGACAGAGATCCTTTTAAAACAAATTGGATCATATCACTCTTTCACTCAAAACTTGGTGTGGCTTTCCTTGTCACAGTATAAAATTAAATTACTTAGCACAGCCTATAAAACTCTACATAATTTGGCCCCCAGCTAATGTTCTGATATCGCCTCTTATCACTTTTACCACTCACACTTAAGCTACACTGCCCTCTTTGCTATTGCTAAGGTGTATCACTCAGACTAGGCTTAGCACTTACTGATCTCTGTGCCCAGAATATTCAAAATCTACATGGCTCCATCTTTCTCCCTTTACTGATGTTGGTGCTATGCTGTTAACCTCACCAAAAAGACTTCCCTGACCACATTCTTTAAAAGTACATACTCTGTCATTGTCTATCCTTCTTATCTTGCATTGATTTTCCTTTCACTACCAAACATTATGTACTTGTTTGCTTCTGGTGTCTTGTCCTCATGTAGAGTTGCAAGCTCGAGGAGAAGAGGGTATTAGTTTATTCATGCTGGATCCCCATACCTGGAACATGACCAGCATATAGTTGATACTCATAAATGTATGAATGAATGCCTACAACAGAAGGAATCCAAGGCACCAGAAATAAGGAAGGCATTGAGAATACTAAAGAGACACTAGCTAAGAATAAATGTCTAAGATGAGGCAGGCAGGTTGATGAGTGGTAAATAATCACAAAAATCAAGATAAAATAGGAAAGAGCACTTAAGTGTGAGCATGATACTGGGATATGTGATTCAGACATCTGACAGATACAGACCACCTGTCCTGCAGTCATTTTCAAAAAACAAGGGCCTCTAGAGAAAAATTTCTGAAAAAGACTGCTGAAAGGTAACCTTAGACCTGAATTCCTGGACTCTTATATCCCCTGTTATCTATATGTCCAGTTCTTGATCACTCACCTGGGTAACCATGGCCTGAGGATTCCTCCTCTAATACCCACAGCTCTTCTCCTCGCTCCAACTTGAAGATCATCTCTGGTTTGGCCACGCAGAGGCCTGTTAATGGGAAATGGCACAGGACGTGGGCCAAGTTGTCTGAGCTTTAGGGCCTCTGATGGAGGAGGAAGGTGCATCTTCATGAGCTGCACAAGGAAGGGGGCCCATTTAAACCTTTCATCGGGGGAAGTGAGAACACACACACTCTTCCTGGTGCCCCAGACTGATCAATCATCTGGGACCCTTGAATCTAAAATTAAAGTGTCATTAAACTCTACAAAGGCTGTACACATTCAGGAACCAAAAAAGGAAACGCATGCTACAAGGAGTTACATGGACAAAAATTCTCACCCACAGATGCCAAGTTGCTGTAGTTCTCCAGCATCACATCCTTGTGCATGGTCCTCTGAGCAGAGTCCAGTCTGTGCCACTCCTGTCGGGTAAAATCCACAGCCACGTCCTCAAAAGACACAGATCCCTGTAACAACAATCTGCAATGATCAGAATGGAACACATGGAAAAGATGTTTGGGAATTAATTCTCTCAATAGCACTATTGAGAATTGACTAGAAAAACTACACTGGACACACTTCTCTGTCTTGCTTGATATTATGCTTTGAGGGGGCAGAGGGACCCAGAAAAGCCCTGCTTCTATGTTACTTTATCATTTCATGAAGAAAAGACTACATAATACTGAGTTAACATGATGTACTTTGACCTGCCCCAGTTGCTGGGGAAACAAAAAGGAAAAAGGAGTGCCTGCTCTCAAAGAGCTCATACCTCAGTAAGGATACTTGTTATATGAATACATCCCTGTGATGAGCTATTACAGGAGCTATGCTGCACATGTATACAGGGTGCAATGGGCTTTCACAAGGGAGGGAACCACATTGCACTTTGTGTTATGAGACTGAACTTCACTTGGGGAGGTAGCACCTTGAATCCTTAAATAAAAATATCATTTCTCTCATGAATATGGGACAATAGTATAAGAAAAGGCAGGAAGACAAGAAACACACATGGTGAGCTACAGATACATAGCACAGTATGACAGGACAATAGTGCTTCAGGCTGTGATGAGATAAAGGGCTACAGCAGCAATTTTCAACCAGTGTGCTGCAAGTATTTTTAAAACACGCAATACCTGACTATTTAGTCAGGGGCACTGACCTGTTTTCTATTACATTGTCAAATTAAAAATGAAAACAGCCAGTACAATAGCCATCCAGTGTGAATAAATCAAAATTATACCTATTTTTGTCAGATTGGCAAAAAAATTTTTTTGTGTGTGCTGCAGAATTTTAGTCATTGGTTTCTGTGTGCCATGAGATGAAAAGGTTGAAAATCGCTGGGCTATAGAGATATTCAGGGGCCAGACAGTGGAGGATTATCAACTTTTTCTCCTATAGATCATCAGTCTCCAAAATACTTGACTCCCTATATCATCAGAATATTTTCTAACCTTCCCACAATATATTTATATTTATAAATTATACAGAGTAGTGTCAAGTGGGAGAAAGGGAGACAATGTTACTCCCAGGATAATGGCATGAGCAGCTGTGTTGAGGCTGGTGCCATATATTGAGATTAGCAAAACAGGAGAGAACATGGGTTGGCAAAAGGAGAAATTGAGATAGATCTTGGACTTGAGCTAGAGTGTTTGTGGTACATACTAATAGACGTCCAGCTGGCAGATGATTCTGTAGCTCAGAAGAGAATGCTAAGATAGACCTATAATTGTCAATACTGAAGAAAGCATGCTAGTACGGAAATATGCTAAGAGATTAGATTTCAGGCGCACTCAACACACAAAAAAGGGTAACTATGTGAGGAGATACATTAATTAGCTTGACAACAGTACTCATTTCACTACATTAATATATGTATATCAAATAATCATGTTGTACATTTTATTAAACTTGGGGTGGGGACTAAGGAAAGGTTCATTAAAGGTTTACAGATCAGGAAGGCATCAACAGAGAAGATAAGAGTCCTAGTGGTACCTTAAATCCATCTTAAGAAAGTATAGACCTTTCCCTGGCTGGTGTGGTTCAGTGGATTGAGCACTGGACTGTGAACTGGAAGGTCACCAGTTTGATTCCCTGTCAGGGCACATGCCTGGGTTTCAGGCCAGGTCCCCAGTTGGGGACATGCGAGAGGCAACTGATCCATGTATCTCTCACACACTGACGTTTCTCTCCCCCTCTTTTCTCTTTCTCCTTCTCTCCAAAAATAAATAAATAAAATCTTAAAAAAGGAAGTACAGACTTTAATTTTTTCTAGTATTTTCTCTACTTAAAAAAAAAAAAAAAAAAGAAATGAAAGCACAGACTCCAGGCTTTACTCCTGTCAAGGAAAGGAAAAATGGGAGGGGCTGTTTTTGTAGAACTCAAGCCACAGGCAAAATTCCTCTAATGATTAGCATGCATTTCTAAGTGCCAAATCTAAGAAGAAGCTATTATTAGCCTGAAGTCCAAGGGAACAAAGCAGGTTTAAATAACGGAGTCAGTGAGACACTAAGCTTTCACTCTATTACAACTTCCCCCTTTTTTTTGTTCATTCCTAAATCTTGAGGGAAATAGTGCAACCAGTAAGTATATACAATTTTTATATATAAATAAGTAAATAAGAAGAAAGAAAAAAAGGGTTAACTAAGGGTGCTATAAAAAGTATTAACTCAAAGGTAATCCCCAGCCTAAAAATATAAACCTTCTTAATTACCAAAAGAAATTTAGAGGAAACACTCAAGAAAGGAACACAGAAAATATAATGAGGTCTGTCTGGGAAAAATCCAGCCATTGCTAACATAAAAATGAGTTGTGTGACATCAGTGTAACCTGGCAGCCAAGGAGAGTGGACTGGAATGTGCATGCATGAAAAATGACAACTTCAGTGTGCTAGTCAGTGGGGGTGGTAGACACCGTTCAGTGAGCATGTGTACTGTGTGGCTGTGGCATTCAAAATGACTGAGCAAGTAGAGCAACAATTTTGCATTAAGCTTTAACATTCCTCTGCGGAAACTATTAGAATGATTCAGAAGGTCACAGCTATGGGCAACTGGTGATTGGCAGCTTCATCATGACAATGAGCCTGCTCATGCATCATGTCTCATGCTGAGTTTTTTGGCAAAACATCAAATCACCCAGGTGATTCAGCCCCCCTACAGCCCAGATTTGGCACCCTGGGACTTCTGGCTTTTCCCAAAACTAAAATCACCTTTGAAAGGGAACAGATTTCAGACCATCGATGAAATTCTGGAAAATATGACAGAGCAACTGATGGCAATTGAAATAACTGTGTGAGGTCCCAAGGTTTCTACTTCGAAGCGGACTGAGATGTCCTTGTCCTATGTACAATATTTCTTGTATCTTGTATCTTCTTCAGTAAATGTCTCTATTTTTCGCATTACATGGCTGGACAGATCTCGTATAACAAATACACATAGTAATTACAAAATATTTAAAAGGAGAGAATTGAGACCAAACATATTTGTGTTATTTATATTACCAAATAAGTAAATGTGTATGGGCTTACCTCACCTATTAAAAGAAAAAGGTTTTCACATTGCCTCATAAAGCAGAACCCAACACAATGCTATATATAAAAGAAAAATTCTTAAAACACAGTCATTCAAAAAGGCTAAAATTAAACAAATGGACAAACATCTATGAAATTAAAACAATATAAAAGCAGGAATTGAAATCTTGATACCAAACAAAGTAATATCCAAAAGCAATTATATCAGACAAAGTAGGACACTTTATAATGTTAAAAATTCTATCTATAATAAAGATATAACAATAAAGACATTTGTGAATACCTATGCACAAAGTAACACAGCAAAAGCTTATATTAACCAAAACCTACAGGAATGCAAGAAGAAATAGGAACATTCTCTAATGGGAGACTTCTAACATGCCAGATTAAGTGGACAAAAAGATAAGTAATGCTATAAAAGACCTAAACAACATAATCAATAATGTGGAACTTTTATTTTTTAAATATGTTTATTGATTTTAGAGAGAGAGGAAAGTGGGGAGAGAGACAGACAGAGAGACAGACAGACCACCTACATGAGAGAAAAACATCAACTGGCTGCCTCCCATATGCATCCCAAGTGGGCATCAAACCCACAACCTAAGTATGTGCCCTGACTGGCAGTTGAACTTGCAACCTTTTGGTGTATGGGAGAATGCTTCAACCAGCTGAGCCATACTGGCCAGGGCAATAATGTGGAACTTTTGTGTGTGTGTGTGTGTGTGTGTGTGTGTGTGTGTTGGGGGACCCCAAAAAATGGAATTTATTTATAAAACATTGTATATTTATTCTGACATGTTTAAACTTCAGTCACCTCCAAAGTACTCTCCATCTGATGCAATACACCTATCGAGATTTTTTTCCACTACTCAAAACAGTTTTTGAACTCATCAATGTTGATGCCTTTTAGTGCTGCTGCTATTTTTTGTTTCACCTCTGCCACACCAGCAAAACATTTCCCTTTGAGAACGTTGTTTTTCATCGGGGAAAACAAAAAAATGTTGCTGGAGACAAGATGGGATAAATAGGGAGGGTGGGGCATGGGGGTCATGGTGGTTTTGGTCAAAACCTGCTGTACACTCAGCACAGTGTGGGTAGGTGTGCCTGTAAATCACCCACCATAAAATGGGCAAACATGTTGAAAAAATCTTTAAAAAAAATCGTTGAAGCTGAACAACAACAGCCTCTTACAACACCATCAGCTGGTACACTGATACAGACAGGTTCCTAGAACACTCATCTAGTAAGGGAAGCCTGTACTACAAGGGGCCTGCCCTCCAGAAAGTAATTCCAGTTTTTTGGGGGGTCCCCCGTCATATATATATAAAACACTATATAAATATCATATAGATATCTAATCACTGGGTTGTATACCTGAAACTAATACAGCGGTGGGCAAAAGTAGGTTTACAGTTATTTTTATGGAAAATAATACAATACTTAATAAATACTAATACAAGAATAAACTGTTTCATTTACTCACAACTGTAAACCTACTTTTGTCTACCCCTGTATAATACTGTATGTCAACTGTAATTAAAAAAGTAAAAATTATTTAAACATTAGAATTAGATATTGAATTTGAAAAATCCCTAGGAATTAAAACAATGTATTTCATTCATTTTTTTGATACATGCATAATAGTGAACTTGATTAAAATCTATGTTTAAATCAAAGAACTGTGGTACATTTACACAATGGAATGTTACACAGCAGAAAGAAAGAACTCCTATCCTTTGAGACAGCATGGATGGAACTGGAGAGCATTATGCTAAGTGAAATAAGCCAGGCAGTGAAAAGCAAATACCATTATGATCTCACCTATAAGTGGAACCTAATCAACAAAACAAATAGGCGAGCAAAATATAGCCAGAGACATGGAAATAAAGAACAAACTGACAGTAACCAGAGGGGAGGGAGGAGAGGGATAATGGGGAAAAGAAGGGGAAGGGTT